ATACAGTGGCTACAATTATAGCTTGTAGTCCTGCTTATATTTCGTGGTGAAGATTAAGCATTAACATAAATGTTATCCATTAGCAGTCTTTGAGGATTCCTCTTTCATGTAGAATAGTCACTAGGCACAGAAAAAATTGTATTCCTTGGGTAGCCTTCCTTCATAGTACTGTAGCCTAATTTCATAATATATATTATATATATAATATATTTATATATATATATATATATATATATATATATATATATATATATATATATATTATATATATATATATATATATTGTGTGTGTGTTTGTATAATGAGATCTGTGTAGAAATTTATTACGTAGATTCCTTATAATGAAAAACAAATATTGACATATTAAGGAATATAAAACAGATTACAGTGATATGCTTATCATTTTACTTAACCTATAAACTCTAGTTACTTTAGACATTTTCATACCTTAGTACCTCGTATTACATATACAGTACTGTCCTCAGTCAATTATTGCAATTTAAGCACATTACAACACTTTTTTGTCTTGGAATAGAATATTGTTTGTATGTACTTATAAAATGTGTGATTTGTGGCAAGTTAATTGAACAAGTTAGGCTTGTCATATTATCATTGCTGATGTTAGTGTATTTTCAAAGTTTTTCTTTTTGACACATTGGTGATTATCTTTCTAGCTTCACTCCGTCAGAAGAATAAGTAAGCGTTTTTGATGTCTGTAGAAGGTATTCTGTAGAAATTTTTTTTTTACTTTTTTTTGGATCTATAAACTAATTAAACGTAATGTTTCTTTGAAAAATGTATTTTCGTGTAAAAATTCCTAGCCACATTTGTCACGAACTTTTATTTTGGCATTTCTATAGATTTTAAGTGAACAGTTTGATGCCTTCGAAAACTGTACTTTCGTCGAAATTTTTTGCCACATTGGGCACAGTCGAACTTACTTTCTGCATGTGTCAGTAAATGCGAGTTGAGAGACTTTCTTCTGACTGTTTTACCACATATTTTGCAAATACAAAATTTTATTTGATGAAACAGGTGGTGGTGGAACTGGAAGCTGGCTAGCACGGAGAACGTCTCGCCACAAATCTCGCATACATAATTTTTCTCTCCACTGTGTTTACTCTCGTGTTCTTTCAGGTGTTTCTTGAGCATAAACTTTTCATTACACACGTCACATTTGAAAGAGATGTTAATTAAGCCTTTCTTTTTATGATTGATTACTTTCTGGGGACTGTGCTTTGACTCCTTCGTACTTGACAATGTGTAGGTGCCACCACCTTTGCTATCTGTGTCTTGGCTTGTACAAGGAATGTGCTTTGACATGATCGTACTTGACTGTATGTTTGAGATACAACTTTTCGTTTCTGTAACTTGTGTTTCTAAGTCAAGTAGCTTGGCTGTATTATTGCATTCATGACGCTGTAGGTCTTCCTCCACGCTGAGTGTAACATTACATTCTAAACACAAGTAAAGTTTTTGGCTTTGATGTTCTTTGACATGATTTTCCCAATTTGTCAGTTTAGAGAATGTTTGATCACACACATCACAGGGAAAATAATAAATCTCCAAATCATCGGAATATAGTAGCAACGGAATTTTTTCCATTGAAAATATTCTTTCTCCATTGGAAGCGTTACATCTGAAACAAGACATTAGAGTGAACTATATATTCATTGAAACAGAAATACCATTCTGAATCCAGCAATGTATTATTTTTAAGTTAAGAAAATAGAACTGATTAAGAATAAGTTATTTTCCACTTTCGAATCGCTATTTGATTATATTAAATCAGAGAATTCATAATAGTAGTATAGATTAATCATGAAAAAAATAAGTAGAAATGATAAGTTTACCATAGAACCTAAGTTATCTAACTATTCAAGGTTATATACACCGAAAGGAGTATGTCTGTGTAAACTGATAATTTACTTTGATGCCTTTTTTTGTGATTCAAGTATTCTTGACTGCTGGTGAAAGGGTTACGTGCAGCCTTGATGACCTTCGTTTAGTCGATAGGCATTAATCCCAATTAACCAACTAACTATTCACAAGAATATAAAAGAGGTATATGTTTCGGTGTGTGTATACACAGAGATAAATGTCAGTCTTATTGTACTTGTTGGTATTAGTACACAGCGTAATGCCTTAAATTTCACCTGATGACTACACGAAGGTCTTTTAGGCTGCATACGACCTATACAATCACAAAACTGGGAACAATGTAAACTCTCGGCATATATACATTTAGATACATACCATTCTGTATATATAAATTACATTGTGGCATGGCATACCACAGTCACTTGTATATATTCAAGTTAACTTTTCTGTTAGAGGATTTTGATAATGACATCTTTTTATATAAATAAAGCGCTAAACCCGAATGGATTACAATTTAAGCATTTATTATTATTATTAATATATTCAGAAACATGTATGGCTCATAGATCATTAATAACTTGAGATTGGAACGAGCAAAATATTACCAGAAAGCTTAATTATAAGAAACTTAACCCCTGGGTAAGAGAGACATGAAACTACGTAATTCGTTATTATAACAATGTTTTAATGAGAGCTTTAGTTAATACTTAGAGCGCCTTCAGTGTAACGGTAAAAGTCTTGCGTTGGTCAGTGTGTTTTGTCAGCTCGTTGCTTCTTACGTAAAACTTATCTGTTTTTGAAGTAACGTACTTGTGTGGACATGCAAATATATCAATCTCAGCAAAGTTTGTGGGTTTAGCGCTTATGATTATAATAATCAGCAAGGTAAATGTCTCCAGAAGAGCAAATAATAACAATTTCAGGCGGAGACAAAGTTCTTACCACTGGCTGCTGTTGTGAGGTTCTCACTGAACTAAACCTTCCACTTCTACCGATATCTGTATTATTTTCTTATTTTATCATTGTAAATAGTTTAATTATGTTTTACTTCCAGCTTGAATATTGTCTTGTATTAATATATAATTAATAAGTGCTGTTAAAAATTTGTAGAAGTCGTGAGGTGAAATTTGTTAACTTTTAAAAAGTCTACAGCCTAGCAGAATTTTCTGTGCAGTTATTTGTTGAGTTATTAAAATATTGCGCTCCAGTCCCTGGACCCATTATGTGTGTCTAATCTTTTGACTTCAACCCACAGAATGGGTATGGGGGTACATAATAAAACTGCTAAACTAAGTTACATAGCTTTCATGTGTGTATGTTTTTTTTTTTTTGTCTATTTGCCTGCAAAATATAGCTTGAAAATTGCCTATTATTATTAATGTTTCCAGATATACTCCATTCTAGGAATTAAGGCTGTCCTTCCCTTCCTCGGACCAAACTTGATTACTTCCTATTCCCCAAGTGCTGTATGATCCTTACAGGTTTAGCGCTCCCTCGTGAATATAATGATCCGGATATATAGATTTTCAATATTGTTTCACTGAAGTTTGAAACTGATTTAACTCGTTATATAAACTAACATTATCACATAATGCATCATAAATTTTATTTTCTCGTGATATAATCACCGTTTTTTTTTTTTTTGTTAGCCCTAACATACAATCGCTGCATATTCCAATTTTGACCAAATTTATGTTGCAAACCAGGGCTGTATGACCGTAGTAGGTTTAGCACTTCCTGTTGATTATAATAATACTGTTGCAAACCGGTTTTTTCTCAAATCTCCATCCATAAATTTGAAAGCTATTTTATAATTCGCCAGTGTAGTATACAAGTTTATCACAAAATTATATATATGATCTTCAGGTGACAATTATTTGTTAACGGTAACTCCTAGCTGTATCTGATACTTTCATTCTTTTTTCAGTTTATATTCTTCATGCTGCATTTATCAACATTAAATTCCATCATTCATTTATTACTCCATTTGCTGAAGTTATCGTGTAGAGATTTACCCATTTTTATTGTTTATTCTACCTAAGATTTTTTGCATCCCCTAGCATATTCATATAGCTTTTTATTCCTTCTGGTAAGACATCAATTAAACATACTGTTGAGACAAGTACAGATCCTTGAGGCACCCCACTTGTGACATCTTCCCACAAGGACATTTTTCGTTTTTTCTTATACCTGCAGTTTCCTCTCCGTAATTCGTAGGCTTCCATGATATTATCTATATGTGAGGCTGCAAATCATTATAGTTTGAAGAATTTCTGTGGGGTTGCATTAAAAGGTTATAGTTTTTGCCTTTGAGAAATATGTAAAATCCGCAAAAAGTTTGTTCTATGTATCGGAAACCTTTCCTACGAAGATAGTCTGAAGGCATTGAATTTGCATTCTTTAGAAGGACTTAAAATTGGGGGAGATATGACCGAGTGTGCAATGTGAAACAGGAATAAATGAAAGGGATATAAATAACGTGCTGAAAATATCTAACCAAGACAAGACTCGCAACAATGAATACCACGTTCGACAAAGAAAGGATATAAATACTGGTATAGTAATAGTTGTAGATGAGTGGAACAAACTCCCAGGAGTAGCGTCATTGAAACTATAACTCTGGTAGCTTTAAATATAGGTTTGAATTTGAATATGGGTGGGTGTGAACTGGACCTGCTTAGTATGGGTCAGTATGGCTACTGCAGTGACGAAATCGTAATAACACGACTGAAAACAAATCACAGAAGAGGTGGTTAGCGTATTGGCCTGTGAGTTGTAGGACTCGCCTGCGATGGGTTTGATACCCACCCGTGCTGTGATTTATGTTCTTAAACTGTTCAAGTGTTTTTTTTCTAGTGTACCAATCTTTATTTCTGTTCAGTTTTGTATCAGTCCACTGTCTGTTGCATTATGCCATTGTAGCCAGCAAAAGAAAGCTACACCTTATGTATTTATTATTACTGTAAATCGTCGGATTTTCTCTTAATACAGCAATATTTATAGTGTAATGGAATCGATATAACTATACCCGCGGATGTGTAAACGTTTATTGTGGAAACAATTTGGTGTTTTTTTTTTCACTGCAGTATTTTTGCAAGATGTATAATATGTACTTTCAGTGAGGTGGTGATGGTGGTGAGTGTTGCTGATGCAGGGGGTGGAGGGGTTGCTCGCACCCCCAGTCTGGCTCATTATCCATCCCAGTATACTCCCCAGTTTACTGGACCAAACAAGTACCTTCCCAAGGGGGACTATCCTCCTGGCTACGACAGTGATTCCAACAGTGACCACAGCAGCAGTGGCCGGGGCAGTGGCGGCAGTGACTTGGGCAGTGAAGTGGACAGGTAGGTGTGTGCTGAACGTCAGACCTGTTGAAGGCAGCTCGTAAAACTTTTATTGTGATAGTGTTTCGCTGTGTAAAGTTCGACACAAAGCGATATGTCAAAATAAAAGCTTGCTCCGTACCTGGAGTTTTTAACACCATCGGCAGTAATCCTTAGCAGCTGCTGTTTTTATATACATATAGTAGCCGCAATAAACTTGCCCCCTGGGGCCAATTCTAAAAAAATTGTTCTGTTGAAGGGAGGGTTATCGTCAGGACAGTGGGAGGTACAGCGCTGACGGGTGTGAGGGGGAGCAGTCGTCCATCACTACCCTCAACCAAGACCTGCATAACACTCGTCCTACCTCCAACATCAAAGACAAGAACAACCATCCCAGGGAAAGCGCTGCCCACAACCACAGTGGCACCCAAGAACAAAAGGAGCAAATTAAGGGACACAGGTAAGACATTAGTTTTGTTGACACATTTTGGCTTATTCGACAATGATTGTTTTGCCAACCAAGTCTAGTATAATATCGTATGGTGTTCTGCGATTATAGTTCCTGAGTTATAATGTTTCTAAACATCGCGAAATAAATATATTGCAGTTAGCTAATACTAATTTGACATAGGTACATATATAAATTTAAGCTTTATTATATAATTTTAGCAAGGTTAAGGTAAGTGCAAATTCGTAAGGTTTTAAAGTAAACTCTTAAAGGTGGGGGGCGGGGGCTTGATGCTGGTAAACGACTCTATATCCAAGGAGTTGGAGCTGTCCTCTCCTGTGATCAGACTTGATTTACTTCTGTTTTTCCAGAGGTTTAAAGCTTGATCCCTACGGGTTTAGGGTTTCCTTATAATAATTTAAGCAACTGTGTTACTAGGACTGTGGCTAGGAGTGTGCCTGTCACTCACCCTCCCGTTGACGCCCCGCTCTGTGGTCAGTGTGCCAGGAAGGACCTCTCCTTCTTCGACCCTGGGTGTAGCGGCTGCTCAGGGCTCCTGCGCAGATCCACCACCACCCCGTCACACCTTTTCGCCGTCATGAGGCAGTGGGTGCCCCAGGTCCAACACAACATACACCAGCTGATTGGCCAGGTCAGTACTCCTGGTACTTCACTGTAAGGTGGAGTCATGTGGACTCGAAAACAGATTAGTTTGGTGGCATGCACAGATCAGTGTCAGAAGTGTCAGTGGTGTCAGAAGTATGGAAAGGAGGATTTATTCTTAATTAATCCTTGTGGTACAGGGATACAGGTGTGCAAATGACAACTGGCCTTTTGGGGTTTATATATATATATGTAAATCTTGATTAAGACACATGTTCAACAGGATGAGTATCTTTCTTGTTGAAACGTTTCGCCTACGCGGTAGGCTTCAATCGATTCATCTTCATCAGTCTATTCATCTTTCTTTTTCGTCTTCATATTTTCCTCATTAAAACATTAATCTTCCTTCTTTTTTGTCCTTATCCACCTCCACTTCCTCTTCATCCTCCAATATCACTTGGCTGTGATTGCTAACGTCTCGATTGGCATGAATTTCACCTTTGACGGCGTGAATGAGTCTCCGGAGCCGTCACCTGGTTTGAGGTGACCTGACCGTAGATGGTCTTTGACCTTGATAACGGGTGTACCTGTTCTTGATCACCGGAGTACTTGACCCTTGCCCCTTCCACACACTCCAGATTTAAAACACACACTCAGTTTATCTTGCTGCTTACTTTCTGCACGAGATAACCATTTTAACACTCATTCACTTCTTGAATTATACCTTCCGTATTACTACATCGTTCACTTTCCTCTTTGTTCTCTGATTAATATTCACACCATGCATTGATTTCAGACATCATTGTCTCCGTCTTTTTTCTCTCTTCAGCCTTCAAGAACCATATTTCACGCCAATATAATACCGTCGACACCACTATATGCTAAATTCTACTTTTCGCACCCATTAACAAGTTTCTTTCCATTAACTCCCAACGCTCCTGCACTTTTCTTTCACTCTTTTGTTGTCATTTATTGTCTTCACAGACTAGTATATCTTAATACATACATATTACCTTTATACACCCAACTTGATCTGGCCTCCATTTATTCACAAAAAACCTAATGGTTTTAACTATGACCATAATTTTTAAAGGGGTGGACCGGTAAGCCAGCGGAAGGCCTCGGTCAGATGACCAAAGGCTCCAACGGCGGGTCATCATCTAAGACCCGTGTCAGGAAACACTTGTCTTTTTTCCTGACTATCCTTACCCAAACTACTCATTCGCATCACCTTGAATTACTTTGCATTCACTTTCAACTTTCTTTAACACCTAATGCAAAGTCCTCCACTAACTTCTGCAGCCTTTTTTTTCTGAATCTCTCATGAGCATTGTATCATGTGAACAATAGTACATTTTTTATATCAAAAGTTGGATAATCTTTTAAGAAACATTTTATAATCGTGAATAATGTTAGTCAAGAAAAGACGTTATTGACCTCAATGTTGGGACACCTGGAGAGAAACTGGTCTGCTGAAGGTCGTACTGACGACAGAAATGAAAACAAAGGCACATGCAAGAGAGCAAACCTTTATTGGAACAACCTTTCACTGTACAGGACAGTATTTTTTTCAAGCCTTGACCTGAAAAAAAAGTTTTATAGTGAAATGTTCCTCCAATAAAGGCATGTTCTGGTGCCTCTGACTTTCTTCACGGCAGAGAAACTCTTCACTCATCATCGTGTACGTGTGGAAAAACGCTCCATTCTCACAATTTTTTTTTCACTTCAGTACCACACGCATACAGCACTATGCGTCACCCCCTTTCAACTTGAAGGGGGGGAGAATGCCTTGATGGTGGATTGCTCTTTATTCAAGAAATTGGAGCTGACCTTTCCTTTCTCGGATCAAACCTAATTACCTTCCACTTCCCAGGGCTGATCCTAAAGGGACTAGTGATATGATTTCAGAATACTTTGCTATAAACTATTGCCAGCGTAATATTTATCGCAAACCCGAATGACCCATTCGGGTTTAGCAACTTTTGATGAATATAATAATCACAAACTGTTCCCACTATGATAGTTCTCGCAAAAAGATTCGTTTGCTCTTAAACTTGTATCAGAATTTTCTGACCAACAACAATTGTGTCTGGTAGCAAGACTGTGCAGAGCAAACCTTACGACGAGGCTCTGTTTAGAACAAAACGTTGTCTACAAATAATGATATTCTCTGCACAGAAGTTCTTCCAGCCATACTTGTGGGAAAGTGTTGTCTTTCGTACAAGGACTGGTGTCCATCTAGACTAGAGATAAGACGATGAAAAGATTTTGACCTGTTCTTACCTTGTAGTCTGTTAGGAAAGTTAGATCTTTCTCAAAGGTCATAATAGGAGTGCTCCAATTGTCGCAAACGATTTAAAAGATTCAGTTGCTACGACAATTGATCTGAGTTACGTACGTTGCATTGTAATTTATTTGTGATGCAATGAAGGGCCAAGGAACTGGACCCTACAAGGGTATTTAAAAATTAATATTTTGTCTCTTGGAAGCACATTTAGGATATTAGCTAAAATTTTATGGGATCTTATTTTCACTGATATGATACCAAAAGAAGAGTTGAAAGTGGTATAAAAAAAGAGGTAATTTTTTAATTATGGAGGGGGTAGGGTAGACACCTCATACTGGTGTTTACCTGGAGTTTACCTGGAGAGAGTTTCGGGGGTCAACGCCCCCGCGGCCCGGTCTGTGACCAGGCCTCCTGGTGGATCAGCGCCTGATCAACCAGGCTGTTGCTGCTGGCTGCACGCAAACCAACGTACGAGCCACAGCCCGGCTGATCAGGAACTGCCTTTAGGTGCTTGTCCAGTGCCAGCTTGAAGACTGCCAGGGGTCTGTTGGTAATCCCCCTTATGTGTGCTGGGAGGCAGTTGAACAGTCTCGGTCCCCTGACACTTATTGTATGGTCTCTTAACGTGCTAGTGACACCCCTGCTTTTCATTGGGGGGATGGTGCATCGTCTGCCAAGTCTTTTGCTTTCGTAGTGAGTGATTTTCGTGTGCAAGTTCGGTACTAGTCCCTCTAGGATTTTCCAGGTGTATATAATCATGTATCTCTCCCTCCTGCGTTCCAGGGAATACAGGTTTAGAAACCTCAAGCGCTCCCAGTAATTGAGGTGTTTTATCTCCGTTATGCGCGCCGTGTGGGGTAAACCTTGCCTGGTTACGGGTATAATAATATTTTGGTTGCAGGTGCTGACCATGGGTTGCCACGTGGATGACAGAGATGCCCTCACTGACATGACACTGCTTCACTACGCAGTCAAGGCAGGAAGTAACGGCGTCGGCGACCCCGCCACTGCTCTGCAGGTAGGTCCCCCCACCTCCCTTAGGTTAGTTTCTCCCTACCGCCCTTCTGGTAGGTCTCCGCCACCGCCCTGCAGAAGGATGTGTATATGCTTGCGTGCATATCACTGTACCCGTGACTACATGCGTGTTCACGTGCGTATGTGTGAACATAAAAGCGTACATCCAGGAGGAAAGCCTATTGGAAAGCAGTAAAGAAAAGCACCGCAGCTTTCTGTCTCAGTGCACCCCTCGCTCGTTCCTGTCTCACGCAAACTCCAGTTGCTGACCTAAGCTTGTGGTGTTTTACCGAGCCACCAACGTCCCTACACCTCCCCGAACAATCTACTCCCTCCATAATTTAATTTTGGTTAGATTCCATTAACGTTAATTAATTTAAATTTCCGTATTTTAACCGAAATATCCAGAAGCATAATTCCAAGAGGTAGTAAGTGCTACAACAATTAAAAACTTACATCAAGTATAGGTGCTTCTAATGAACAAAAATATGTTTGCAGATTGTGTACACTTAAAAATGCTTTGAAGTTTCTTTAATCGTCAATTGTATCAACACCACAGATTTTACGACTACAAAAACAATCCTGAAATCACTCAGACCAATTGTAACACTTACAAACCACAAGTACACAAGACAAACACCTTCCCCCTGTCATCAGTGGTACACATCTTGCGCAAACATAGGAAGCTTAATCTCACACCTTTCACTCCCTGGTCGAAGTTTTACTACCACGTTAGAGTATTATGTCATTTTTAACAAATCTGCAACAGTGGTACAAGCTGAATGTTGTGGCGTAATGCTGAAGACACGCTGTGGAACAAGCTCTTATTGGTACAACGTTGTTCGTAAGGTTTGCATATTGTCTTCATACCGTAGTTCTACAAGGTTTGGGGCCCCCGCAGTACAAAGTGGGTCGGGTTTTTTAAATGGATTCTGTTTAAATACAGTGAAAGTTTACCTTGGTCCCCGGTCTCTTATTGTTTCACTTCAATAGTTGCAGCTTTTTTAATATGTATTATTTTATATATATATATATATTATATATATTTATATTATATTATTATATATATATATTTTTATATATTATATTTTATTTTAATATATATTTATATAAATTTTCACTTGCGCATTTAAAGATATATTTTTTATTTATGTTTTTTAAAAAATTAAATAATTTTGTCCCTAAAGAATCTTAGAAAATTTGCCAAATCTTTTAAAAAATATTTTGTGGATAATTTAAAATTTTAATAAACAAATACAAGAAATATTTTTTTTTTATTTTTAGGGAAATTATTGAAAACACAAATTTTCGCTTCCCTTTATTCGGCAAAAAAAGCGTTTTTTTTTTAAAAGCCAAAATAGCAAGTTTTACCTATTCGGCACTTTGGGGGGATTGAAGTGAGGTGCCGGCCAGACCCCTTATATAGTTCCTTGGATGCTTTACTTTCATTTTCCTTGAAAATGTGAGTAGTCACGAAAAGCGCTTGGAATTTCTTATTCTTTCAGGTGGTTGTTTTGATATTCTGAAATCCCCGTTTCTGTGTTATTGCTTTTTATAAAATTTATATTATATATATATTTAAAATTTTATATTATATTATATATTATATATATATATTTTGTAGTAGTAGGTTGGAGACAGCAACCCCCCCGGAGGTACTACCGTCCCCCCAAGTGAGGAAAAAACGAACCCTGTGATTTTTTTACATGAGGTAGGATTGCTGATGTTTTTTGTCTGTCTCATAAATATGCAAGATTACAGGCATGTTTGCTATTTACTTAATTTTAGGTACACTACACATAAATGTACACTTTATTTTAACACACTCATCTGATTTTTCTTTGTTTTATTTTAAATAGTTTTGGTTTTTTAAATTTTTTCCTTTTTATCATGGGGAAGTGGAATAAGAATCTTTCCCCCGAAAGCCAGCGTGTTGTAAAAGTCAACTAAATCCCGGGAAACAAGGGGCTAGTAACCCCCTTTTCCTTAAAGATTACTAAAAAAAAAAGAAAAAGAAAATTGTCAAAGTGGAAGTCTAAATGTGCGGGTGTTGTGCAGATGATAAGAAAGAGATGATTGTGGATGTTTGAATGAGAAGGCTGGTGTCCTGGCTTTAAGTGAAACAAAGTGAAGGGGGTGGGAGAGTTTCAGTGGGGGGATAAAGGGGATTAGGTCAGGGGTTTCAAATGGGAGTTGAGTAAGAAGGAGTAGCAATAATGTTGAAGGTAGCTATGGGGGAAAGGGGATATAAATGTAAAATTTTAAAGGATTTGTGGAGTAAAATAAAGTTGGATTGAAAAGGGGTTATAAAAAAGCGTGTATGCCCCGGGGAAAAAGAAAAAGTGTAGAGGAGGGAGGAGGATTTTGGGAAATGTTAAAGTAAATGGTGGGGAAAATTTTTTGAATCAAGTGTGAGAGTAAGGGGGTTTGGGGATTTTAATGCTAAAATGGTAAAAATGTTTTGGAGGGGTAGTAGGTAAAATTTTTGGGTGCCAGGGGTAATGTAAAGGGGAGCCTTTAATTGAGCTATGTGTAGAAGAAAATTTGGTTTAAAAAGTAATAATTTTTTATGAAAAAAAAGGATAAATAAATATACAAAAGGGATGTGTAGCCGTAATGAAAATAGTTTATTTGATTAGTATTGGGGATAAAGGTGATGGGTTAGGCTCCAGGATGTACATGTTTATAGAGGGGCAACTATATTGGATCATTATTTAGTTGTAGCTACAGTTAGGTAAGAGGTTGTGGAAAAAAGGGGAAAGGGGGCAACAACAAATAAGAGGGAATGAAAAATGTTATAAACTAAAGGGGGGAGGAAGTTCGGGTGAGATATAAAACGATATTGGCAGAAAAGGGGGGCTAGTGCAAAGTGATTGTGGGGGGGGTTTAAGAGGGTTGGAAAATTTTTAAAAAAAGCAGTATTAGAATGTGGGGCAGAAGTTTTTGGTTATAGGGGGGTGGGGGCAGGGGAAAGAGGAGTGATTGTGGTGATGAAGTTAAAAGGGTTGATAAAAGAGAAAAAGGAGTTATGGAGGTTTTTTTCAAAGCGAAAAATGTTATAAGAAGAGCAGGTATATGGAGAGTAAAAGAAAGGGAAAAAGAGTGGTGAGAGAGTGCAAAAGGAGAGCAGATGATAGGTGGGAGAGGCCTGTCAAGAAAATTTTAATGAAAAAAAGAAAAAAAATTTTGGGGTGAGTTAAAAAAGTTAAGAAAACCTAGGGAAAATATGGATTTGTGTTAAAAACAGAGTAGGGGGGTTAGTAGATGGGGAGATGGAGGTATTGGTGATGGCGAGATATTTTTTTAGGAACTTTTAAATGTTAAGGAAGAAACAGAGGCAGTAATTTCATGCACTGGTCAGGGAGGTATCCCTTTTAGGAGTGAAGAAGGCAGAATGTAAAGGGGGGGGGGGTAGTGAGGCATTAGTAAAATGAAAGGGGGTAAAGCAGTGGAACTGATGGGATCTGACAAATGTTAAAAGAGGGGGGGAAAAGGTTGGAGTGGTTGGGTTTTTTTGTTTATAAAGTATGAAAGGGGGAAGGACTTTGGATTTGGGAGAGAGCTGTATAGTTTCCCCTTTTTATAAAGGGAAAGGGGACAAAAAAAGCTGTAAAAATTATAGAGGAAAAAGCTTATGAGTATCCAGGAAAAATGTACGGTAGGGTTATAAAATTTAAAAGAATTGAGGGAAGACGAATGTAGGATTGCGGATGAGAAGGAGGTTTTAGAGTGGGTAGGGGGGTGTGTAGATAGGTGTTTTTCATTGAAGCATATATGTGAAAAGTATTTAGATAAAAAATGGAAGTTTTATTGCATTTATGGATTTAGAAAAGGCATATGATAGAGTGGATAGAGGCAATGTGGCGATGTTGCAAGTATTGGGAAAAGGTGGTAAGTTATTAAATGCTGTAAGAGTTTTTATGAGGATGTGAGGCTCGGTTTGGGTGTGTAGAAAAGGGGAGACACTTCACGGAAAAAATAGGCTTAGACAGGGATGTGTATGTCCCTGGTTTTTTTAAAATTTTTTATGATGGGGTTGTAAAGGAAGTAAAAGTTTGGGTGTTTGGGGAGGGGGGTGGGGTTTAAAATTTTGGGGAACATTCAAAAAAGGGAATTTACACGTTTCTTTTTGCTGATGATACTGTGCTTATGGGAGATTCAAAGAAAAATTTCAAAGGTTGTGGATGGTTTGGGGGAAAGTGTGTAAAAAGGGGAAAGTTGAAAATGAAATAGAAAAAAAGGGAAGGTGATGAGGGTTTTCAAATGATTTAATAAAGAAAAATTGGATATCAAATTGGGGGGGGAGTATGGAAAAAGGGGAAAGTTTTAATACTTGGGGTTGACGTGTCGGCGGATGGATTTTGAGGGTGAGGTTAATCATAGAATTTATGAGGGGAAAAAAAGGGGAGTGGGGCGTTGGGTTTGGGAGTCAAAAAAGTTGTAAAAAGCCAGGCTTCCCCATTTTTTCAATCTTTATGGCAATTCTTCAGGTTGTAAATTTTATTCTCCAATTTGAAATATCCCCTGGCGGGTACCAAATTAAAAAGTGTTTTCCCGCCCCTTTACTAAAACCGTTTCCCCCACCTCTGTCCCGCTTGCCCCCTAGTTTGTTTGGGGTGGCCTGTAACATAACCAAATTTTGTTCTTGATTTTATTATGGAACTTTGCTTGCTTTTTTTGTTTTCCGTTTCCCCTATTTTTACTTTTCTTCAGTTGTAAAATTTATTGCTTCATGAAAAAACTGCTATGACTTTTAAAAGTGCCGGTTTTTACCACCCTGCCAAATGTTTTTCCCCCTTCTTTTTTCAGAAAAAAAAGTGTTGAACCATTTTTATGAATGTTTTAATGAGATTGCGTGGTTACGGGTTCAAACAGTGTCCCATTGTAAAATGAGACGTATGTTTTAAGAAAAATTTCCTGCATATTTTCGGTATATTCGAAAAAAATTATTATGAGGAAAAAAAATTTTTACGACTCAGCAAGAGGCATATCAAAAGTCACTGG